AAGGTTTTTTTAAATCATGCATGCTCCAGATTACTGACTTTCAAACTTCTTTAATGCTAACGCACAATAAATATAGATTGTAGTAAGCACTCCAGACACATACATATATAATCTGAACAAATGCATACAAATTCAATCAAAAGGTTCGCAAACCAAAACTTACTCCTATAATAGACATGTCATGTGAGGCTCTGTGACTCGGCGTTGTCTTGTTTTTGAAATGCTGGTGAGGAGCCATTCCATTGGGCTGATGAGCACAAGGGTCACAAGCTGTTTGTGCACTCCCGCCCTCCCCTCGGGTGCTTTTGGTGGCATTGCTAATATTTAACGTGGCCTGCAGACACAAAAGTACTGCCACCGTGCAGAATGGACGCTCCGGCCTGCCCGCGTGCTCAGTGGGTGAGCGTCAACCCATGAACCAGAAGGTCATGGTTCCATTCCCAGTCGGGTCACAGGCCCAGGTTGTAGGCTCGATCCCCAGTGCGGGGCGTGCAGGAGGCAGCCAGTCAATGATTAGTTCTTTTTTTTTCAGATATGAAGAGAGAGACATCAGTGATGAGAGAGAATCATGGACCGGCTGCCTCCCGCACGCCCCACACTGGGGATGGAGCCTGCAACCCGGGCCTGTGCCCTGACTGGAGAATTGAACTGTGACCTCCTGGTTCATAAGTCAGTGCTCAACCCCTAAGCCATGCCAGCCGGGCCTCTGAGTATTGATATTTCTCTCTCTCTCTCTCCCTCTCCCTTCCTGTCTGAAGTCACTAAAAATATGTTTTTTAAAGAACAGACACTTGATGCACTTGGATCTGTACTGGCTTTGAAAACCCACCTCCTGTCCTAACAACAGTAGGAAATGTATTTCCCGTTGGCCTAAAGGGAACTTAGGGAGCACACGGGCGTCACACCTATAGTCATTTTTTAAAGTTGTCTTAAGGAAAAGTTGGATGAAAGCAATGCACCTTGAGCTGCTTTATGCAATACTTGTAACACTTCCTGCTCCTTAGGCTCGCACATTTACAGAACACAAACACATATGTGTGTATGAACACACACACACTTCAGAAGGGCCTATGCACAATTGTCTGTGCAGTCCTGAGCATCCATTAGTTGTACAAACACAGACATTTGTAATGGGTGCTTCCCTTTCTAGAATATCTATGATATGCCCTGGCCGGTTCTGCTCAGTGGTTAGAGCGTTGGTCCACAGATCAAAGGGTCGTTGTTTCAATGCCCAGTCAAGGGCAGGTACTCTGTTGCAGGTTCGGTCCCCGGCCCCAGTCCTGAGGATTAAAAATAATAATAATGACATATGTATGCTATCTTCTCATTTATCTGGATGATAGCTTAGTAAAAACTTCTTTAAAGACTAAAAAAAAGAGAAAATATAAAAGAAAACCTCTTTAAACACAGAGAGAGGAACTCAGGACATTAAGATTAGGGATTTCCGGAACGTTGACAAAGGCAGTCATCATTACCCGTGGATGGAGAACAGCTTGGGCCCTTTGCTCCGACACTCGGGCCTGGGGACTCCCAGTTGGCCAACTCCCTTCCTGGGAAATACCTCAGCCCCCTACCCAGCTACTGGCTGCCTCCTCTCCTCCTGGCCATTGGGCAGCCCCGAAGTGTGCAGCCCATAATAATTCCCACAGCCCATGATAACCACCCACTATGGGGACTCCCTGTCCCACGGACACGGTGTTTCTGTGTCTCCTGGACACGCCTCCCACCAAACACTAAGAAGGTTATGTGGCACTGACCGGTGTGGCTCAGTGGATAGAGCGTCGGCCTGCAGACTGAAGGGTCCCAGGTTCAATTCCGGTCAAGGGCATGTACCTGGGTTGCGAGCACATCCCCAGTGGGGGGTGTGCAGGAGGCAGCTGATCGATGTTTCTCTCTCATCGATGTTTCTAACTATTCCTCTCCTTCTCCCTTCCTCTCTGTAAAAAATCAATAAAATATATTTTAAAAAAGAAGGTTGTGTGGCGTCCCCAGAGATCCACAATGCACATTTCTACATGAAAGACCGAAAAGTCCCACAGGAGAGAGATTAATGTTGATTGCATGTAGCATTATTTTAAAGATCATTTTCCTTGAAAAAAAATTAAAAAAATAATAAAATGAAATTAAAAAAAAAAAGTTCTGCAGGAGAAAAACCTGTTAACTTTTTTAAAAATCTTAGAATTTTACAAATTGATTTGTCCACAGATACCTCCCCCTCTTTTTTTCTCTACTCTGCCCTAAAGTTCCTTCCTGCCTACGGCCACTCCTGGGAATAATTGTGGGGCAAATAAAATGGATCTTTCTTCATTTTGTTTTGTTTTAAGATTTTTTTATTGATTTTGGGGGAGAGAGAGAGAGAGAGAGAGAGAGAGAGATCTATTGATGTGAGAGCAAGACATCTATCAGCTGCTGCTGGAAGACAGTCCATCCTTGCTGCCTGACACAGCCACTGCAGGGAAGAAACATCTGCACAGCATATGTTTCAAGGGACCTGGCGTACATGGCATACTGTTCTTAACATGTTTGCTCCCCTTCTTAGCACTATGTGTTTTAGCCAAGGTCACCTCTCCAAGAAAGGTTGTTTCCCCAGGTGGGGATTTTTCCCTGGAGTTAGGGATTAACAGGACTAAGGAAGGGAATAAACCTGTAAAACCCCTTAACTAAGTGCCAGGAAGGTAGTTTATCACTTTAACTATGAACAATCACGCTTAAGCTACATAATCTTTACTTAGGATAATCTCCTTCAGTTACTTCCTTGTAGCTTAACAGAACAATACAGTAGTGACCTTGGAATACAGATAACAAACGCCCTAACCTTTGGAATAGAATGGACAGGATTAAAATCAAATGGTATAAATACAGATGTAACAGGAGAATAAAGACAGAACCTGGCTAGAACCTGGCTATACTTATCAACTGAACGCTGTCTCCCTGTCATTCCTTCTTCGCCGACTCCGTCCACACCTTTGGGGACCCCTGGACCTGCTGGGGCTGGACCCCAACAAGCTGCCTCCTGCACGCCCCCTATGGGGATCAATCCCAAAATGAGCCAGGCAGGCCAGGGATGGATCTTTGCTTTAACCGCCTCCTAACACATCTCAGACTCCAGGGATCACCACCACCCCCTGCAGTCTAAATCTTTCTCCCACCCCCTTCTCTCCTGTCCTGTCCATCTTCCTGGACCCTCGTGTCCCCAGGCCCAGAAGGGAGAGGGTTGTGGCAGGAAACAAAGGGACTGGGCCTAATGGGTTGCCCCACCAGGATTGGCACCGTTCTTAATACTTAGCCAATGGACTGGCTCTCGTTCAGGCATTGTAGTCCTTTCTGGGAAGATGAGGGATGAGGGGAGGGGTGGAGGTGGCGCCCCGGGACCCTACAAGCTTCCAATTCCTAACCTTTTGGTGGAAGGGTCCATGTTCATTCTTTTATTTTTTTAATATATTTTATTGATTTTTTTACAGAGAGGAAGGGAGAGGGATAGAGAGAAACATCGATGAGAGAGAAACATCGATCAGCTGTCTCCCGCACACCCCCTGCTGGGGATATGCCCACAACCAAGGTACATGCCCTCGACCGGAATTGAACCCGGGACCCTTCAGTCCGCAGGCCGACGCTCTATCCACTGAGCCAAACTGGCCAGGGGCCGTGTTCATTCTTGCTTCTCTTTTCCAACTGATGCCCATGTGACATGAACAGAAATCCATACCCCTCCCCTAATTCCAGGTGCCATTTCCCAGGGCTGTCCTCTTCCTGGGGCCATCTCTAGAGGCAAACTTCTCCGTCCTGTTCCCCTCTCCCCCGCCACAAACACCTTCAGGCCCAATTAGGGAAATTATCCGCCACTGGCCAGGGCAGCCTGGGCCACCCCAGGGTGGCAGACCCCGGATGTCTGTAGGACAAGCAGCATGTGCTGGGCCGTGCCGAGCAGAAGACTGGAGCCCAGGAGAAACTGGGTGCTGTGGCCTGAGCCTCCCTCCGCCCTCGAGGGAAGGGCCAGTGAGCCATTGACTGGTCCCACGGTGGTGTTGGCCGCCTCCTCCACTGGGGCCCTCGGGGCCAGCAGCT